CTTAAAACGACTTCTGCGGCACCCTGTCCAGCACCCGCCCAGACCCCCCTGTGGAGTCATCTGCTGCTCTCTTTTGACACCACTAGAAACCTATCAGAACAAGTTGTTAGGTAAAAACACACTCTGCCCCCACCATCCTTTGTTAAAACCATACAAGACCCACTTTGTCTCAAAATTCCGAACATGCGCACCGAACCCGACGCGGCCTCCCCCCACCATCCCTGTCCAAAAACAATACAGAGTACACTTGGCGGCGGCGGCGGCGGCGGCGGCTGCGGCAGGGGCAACGGCTGCGGCGGCTGCGGCGGTGGCGGCGGCGGTGGCGGCGGCGGCGGCGGCGGCGGCGGAGGCGGCGGCGGCGGCGGAGGCGGCAGCGGTGGCGGCAGCGACCGCGGCGACAGCGGCTGCGGCGGCGGCGATTTGGCAGCGGGGGCGGCGGCGGCGGCGGCGGCGGCGGGCGGCGACGGCGGGCAGCGCGGTGGCGGCGGCAGCGGCGGACACCGGCGGCGGCGGCGGCGGCGGCGGCGCGGCGGCGGCGGCGGCGGACGGCGGCGGCGGCGTCGGCGGCGGCGGCGGCGGAATGGCCCCCAGTAGCTGCCCATCCAAAGACGGATGTGCATATGCTGCGCCTCGGGCCAGGCTCGGATGCTACGTATGTGTTGGGAGGGCGGGTGAGAGTGAGCGAGACGGCTTGCGGGCGGGGAGGGAGACTCTTGACCCCTACCCCTACCCCCTCCCCTGGACCTGAACGGGGCGCTCCGCGAGCGGTCAGGGCGTCCAAGATGGCCCAAAGAGGGCGTCAGAGAGCCCAAGATGAGCTGCAAGATGGCTCGAAATAGCGCAAGATGCCTCGAGATGACTCCCAAGATGCTCCAAGACGCCCCAAGACTGCTCCAAGACGGCTCTAAGATGCCAAAAGAGCTCCCCAAAAATGCCACCAAGAGGCCAACATCCTTCAAACATATTGGGTGAATCAATGTTTGTTGCTTTCTCGCGTGTTCGCTTCCGATGGCCATTCGAGGCCTTTAGATAGCTCCAAGATGGCCAAGAGAGCCCTAAGAAGGGCCCAAGTGAGCCCCAAGACGGCCCCAAGAGGGCCCAAGTGCGCTCCAAGAGCGTCCCAAAAACGCTCAAAAAAGGCGACTTGGGGGGCTGCCGAGCGGCGAGGCTACTTAAGGGAAGCCCCTTCTTCGAGTCTTTTCGCTTCCGATGCCCATCCGAGGCCTCATCATGGCTCCAGGATGGCCCCAGAGGGCTCCAAGAGCGCTCCAAAGGCTCCCAAGAGCGCTTCAAGAGGACCCCGAGGCGCCCAGGAGGCCCCAGGAGGCCCCAGGAGGCCCCAGGAGGCCCCAGGAGGCCCCAAAAGACGCCCAAGAGGCCTCCAGGAGGCTCCTAAGAGACCCCCGAGAAGCCTCAAGAAGCTCTGCGAGGCACCCAAAACGCTCTAAGAGGCGTCCGGGACCGCCAAGAGGCCCCCAAGACGCTCCAAGAGACCTCCACTGGGGGACCCTTCCTCTGCGTGCTGCCCACTTCCCTGATCGAGGCAAATCCTCTGGGCATCGTTTCTGGATGGGCTGGTGGGGTTACGCGAAGCGTCTAGGATTGCGAGGATGTCTCAAGCGGGAGCGCGGGACCGGAATGAATTTCGAGGAAGTATCAAGCGGGAGCCGTTGTTGTTGTGTAAACCGGGGGCCAGGGGCACAGTTTGATGAGGAAGACTTTTCCTGTTAAAAAACAGGGTGCGAGCACGGGGAGGGGCACTTCAATTGAAAAAACAATGTGCACCGGGCGGGGGGATTCAACAATAATTATTCTTCAGAAATGAAAGTTCACCAACAACAACAACTATCAATTTAGCATCATGCGCGATGCTTGCACACGAAGCATGCGACCATCATGATAACCATCCGCATCATGGGGGACTATTGTTCTATAGCGGGGTCCGTTATTCCCATTCCCAGATCTCCCGCCCCATGAGGTTTTGCAAACACCTCCTCCGAAGAATTCCAACATATCCCGCCTCGAAAACTCATGTCCGCGCCTTGCTGCGCCGATGCGAGACCGCCAGTGGAGCCCCAGCCAAGGGTAAAGCACAAGGAAGTATCGAGCGACAGGATTGCCTTGGGGGAGATGGGGGCTGCCGGCGGCGAGGCAAGGACCTGGACCTGAATAGAAAAGGAGGAGGTCTTGAGAAGGGCCGCTGTTGTTGCTGGGAGCGGCGCAAATGCTGAAGAGAGCAGGGCGGTAGTCCAGCGTAAAACAAAACGAAGTCTCGAGCGGGAACGCTGGAAGAGCGTAAAACAAAACGAAGTCTCGAGGGCGGTAGTCCAGCGTAAAACAAAGATAGCCTGGAAGAGACCCCCCCGGAATGAGACCCCCCTCCCTTTATTACGAAATCTGGAGTAGGTACTTAGCAGATGGTCATCGGTCGTCGTCGTCGTCGTCAGATGTCGGCCAGTCAAGAGTCGGTCGTCGGGGGTCACTCTGGTGGTCGTCGGACGGTCGTCGGCGGCCGGCGGATGGCCATCGTTGGGGATCGACGGGTCGGCGGGCGGCCGGCGAGCGCTCGTGAGTCGGGTCAGCGTCGTCTGGCTTATCGTCTGACGGTCGGCGGACCGTCGTCGAACGTCGTTGGTTCCTTTGGTAGTAATCGGCGGATCCTCGAGAAAACGATTGGACGAGTCAAGGGTTTGACCCTTCCGTCGCTGGCAGACGGGGCGGTGGATAGACAGAGGAACTTCCAATCCAGGCTAGGTCTGGTGACCCGCTGGGGGTCCCCCGTGGTGGTCGGCAGGCGCCCTGGGCGGGGGCCATGAAGCACTGAGACATGGGGAATGGTTGCAGAGTGGGCCCAGTGGCCCCCAAGGTCGTTGCTCCTGGAGGTCGGCAGACGCTCAGACGGAGGGCCGCAACGGGCGGCGATTTGGGGAGGCGTCGCGGGAACGGGCTAGAAAGTGGGCCTGATGGCCAGGCTGAGCGGCTCCAGTAGCGGTCGTGGGACACGTGGCTGGAGGGTCGCAGCGAAGCACGGCGGAAGGGCTGGCTGCGACAACTGCTTGGTGGCCCCGTGGATGTTGCCCCTGAGGGGTCGGCGGACGTTCGGGAGGAGCGTCGCAGTTGCCTGCGCCTTGGGCGGCATCACGGGGACAGGCTGGAGCGTTGGCCCGGTGGCCACACTGCGCGGCTCAAGTGGCGGTCGTCGGACACTCGGCGGGGGGTCGCAGTGAGCCACGGCGAAAGGGCCGGCTGCAACGCGGGCCTGGTGGCCCCCGCGGCTGATGCCCGCGAGTCGGCGGACGCACGGGAGGAGCGTCGCAACGGATTACGCCGTGGGCGGCATCACGGGGACCGACAGGAGTGTTGGTCTGGTGGCCACACCGAGAGGGTCCAGTGGCGGTCGTCGAGCGTTGGGCGGGGGGGTCGCAATGAACCACGGCGGAAGGGCTGGCTGCAGCGTGGGCCTGGCGGTCCCCGCAGCTGTTGCCCCTGAAACTCCGCGAACGCTGTGAAGGAAGGTCGCAGCGGACTGCGCCCTGGGTAGCATCACGGGGACTCACTGAGGCGTTGGCCTGGTGGCCGCACAAAGCGGTTCCAGCGGCGGTCCTCGGACGCTACGCCAGAGGGTCACAATGAACCGCGGTGGGCGGTCTGGCTACAGTGTGGGGCCTACTGGCCCCCTTGGCTGGCACCAGTGGCAGTCGGCGGACTCTCAGGGGGAGGGCCACTATGAAATACCACACGGGGGCTGGATGCAGTTTTGGCCTGGTGACCATGGCCAATTCCAGTGGCAGTCGGCGGAGACCCGTCGGTAGGCGGTAGGGACGTGATGCTCTGGCGCAAAGAGGCGGGTTGCAATTTCGGCCTGGTAGCCTTCCTGCACGCGTGTGATGAGACTTCGGCATGGAGGGAGACACGAAGTTCACGTAGGGTGCCACGTAAGTGACCACGTTGCACCTGGAGGTCTCAGTGGAAAACGTCACGTTGACGGTGAGGGTCACCCTGGCCACACGGGGGGGTAGAAATCCAGCGCGCACAACGGGTCACCGTAGCAATGGGCCACGCGGTGGTCACCGCTCGGTGCAAAGCCGGAGCGGCGGCGCAGGAAGTGGCGGTGCGATATGGGGTGGTGGTGGCGCAGATAGGTTACGCCCTGGGAGGGGGCGTATCCAGCCTGCCCACGCGGGCTTAGAAGGACCCTTGGGGGATGTGCACTTGTGGCCGCGCTCTGCCCTGAAGAGACTCGGGCCCAGGCTGGGATGGAGGAGGAGGCATGAGTAGCAGGAGAAAGAAGATGAGGAGATGTGATGGGGAGGGCGTTTGTAATGCATGCTTCGTGTTGGTATACCGTCTGGCATGGCAGCGTGTTGGTGTCTTCGGTCTGGCGTGCCAGAAGTATCTTAGAGTCTCTGAGGAGGACCTCTGGGGAACTCATGAGGGCCACTTGGGCGTTTACCAGGGCCTCTGGGGAAACCAAAAAGTACCGATATCGCTACTCCACAGACTTCTCCTGGGATGCTTTCTGACTAGACTTTCGAAGCGAATCCAGCGGTGGCGACAAGGGCCTCCCACGAGGCCCAACATGGGGGAAAATGGGCGAAGGGTAGATGTATGGGTACCTCTTCCTCCTCTGGGCCTCTCGGGGTTTCGCGGGGGCTTCTTGGGGAACTCTAGGGTTAAGTCGGGCCTGTCACCCTGCGGGGGATTATCGACGAAATATGAACAATCCATGAAAAGTATGTAAGAATCGAAAAATAATATGGCGACTATGTGCTTCAGCCCTCGTCCAAAGGAATCTGGAAGAGCGGTGAATCAGCTTCATTTTCTTGAGCCAAGAGTACACGGGAACATTCTCCTGACACAGTTCCCGACCAGGCGTGCTTAGCCCCACGGCTGTACCCCCCCCCGAGATTTGGACTAGGGACGAGCACCTCTCCTCGTGATCGGCATGCGCAAGAGCGGGCAAAAATAAACGCCCTCATCCGCGGCCTGCGCCCTCATGATCAGTGAAGGCGCTCCCGCAGGCGGTTCATGACCTTCGCGGTGGCGGTGAGCATCCTTTGGGTCTCACGTCCGCTCGCCAGCATGCGAGCACGCCACTTCACGTCAATCCCGCGGTCATTCCGCTCATTCGTCAGCTGGGTGATCACTTGCATCTCCGTCGGGCTGCTCCTCGCAGCACACTCAACAAGCTCCTTCTTTCTCGTGTAGCCGTCCTTGAGCACCAGGCCGCGCTCGACTAGCAGCTCCCGCAGCTCGCCGACGGTGTAGACCTCGCACAGGCGCTGAAGCTCCCGTATGATGTACCTCCGCTCTTCGAGCCTCCATCCAGCCTGCATGCTCTGCTTCTGCTTGGATTCGGCATACTCCTCGTGGTGCCTGTGCCTCTCGCCTATCAGCGCCGCTCCTGGATCCTCCTCGGCCGTCTGGGCGACCACTTTGTGCCTGCCCACGTACCAGCCGCAGAGGTGCGCGATACTACACAGCACCACGACCAAACTCACCAGCAGCCATGGGGAAACCCCCGACTGCACTGCCTCAAGCTTCTCGCCCCCATAGTCCATCTCACACTAGTCCTTGGCCACCTTTCGCGCCAGGGATCGCCGGTAGAGTCGACACCACCATGGCTGCGCCCGTCATCCTCAGGTTCAGCTCGTGCAGGTGCGTCGCCATGCTTTCCTCGCCCGCAGACTTCGTCAAGGTGTCCGCCACCATCTGCCGCGCGTCCTCCTTCACAAGCTCGAACATCTGGAGTCGGAGCCGCTCTTGGATCCAGGGGTAGCGCAGTTCCACGTGGCGGGCCTTGCCAACTCCGCGCCGCTGGGCCATGCCACGCGCGGCCGTGCTGTCCGAGGCCACCACCAGGCGAACCTCGATCCCGACCTCGCCCAGGAAAACTTCATCTGCAATCCCCGTGCTGCGACCGAGCCGAGCGCGTAGAACTCCGACTCGCCACTGCAGAGTGCCTGGGTGGCCTGGCTGGCCGAGTAGTACTCCCAGGTGCGACTGCCGAATCTGACCGTGCCTCCAGATGTGCTCTTACGTGCCACTGCCGTCGGAGCCGCCCAGTCTGCGTCGCCGTCGGCCCTCAGGATGCTCGGCTGGTCTTGCAGCTCGTAGCATCAAACTAGGGCCAGGTGTCCCTCGAGGTATCGGGCCAGTCGCATGAGCCTCGCATTCATCTGGTAGTTCGGTCTGCTCACGCCCTGCATGATGGTCTTGCTCGCGAACATGATGTCGGGCCGCTCCGCTGCTAGGTAGAGCGCGAGACCTCCCGCTGATGCTGTCTTGCGTGGCTCGGTCGTGGGCATCGGGTCCGTCACATTTCGTAGATGTGCCCCGATCGCCATGGCGCCTGGTGCGTCGACCGCCCTGGCTCCCTCCTTGGATCCGAACTTGACGATCTCCGTCACGTGCTTCGGGCCCGCGTGCCAGAAAAAGCCTGGCAGCCTCGTCTCGGGCAGCTGGTCGACATATCCGCAGACGCGCGTCAGGTTGCGGGCGGCTCCAGGGTGCCCAGGCCCCAGCGGCGGCGACGAGGTGATCTCGTACTCCACGCTCAGGACGTCGTCCAGCTGGTCTAGCGCCCCGACGTGGCCTTCCGCGATGAAGTCGTCGCCGTGGACCCCCATCGTGGCGTCGTTGCCGTCGCTGCAAAGGTTGGCGAAGTAGAACATGCCAGGGCCGCACCTCAGCGCCCTGCCTCCAGCGTCGCCCGAGGTAGCCTTCACGTTCTCGCCCCGCAGCTGACTGGCCAGGCGGGCCCCGTACAGTGCCTTGAACAGCTCCCAGCAGTAGCCGCGCTCGCACAGCTCGCTGCCTGGGTGGACGTAGATCTTCCCGGTCAGGTCGCTATTGAAGAACGCCTTGCGAACGTCCCAGATGCGGATGCACCGTCAGTGCTGTCCGTCGCTGTCTGGCTTGCTGGCCGCCAAGCTGAGAATCGCGCGAATCATCGCGAGTGGCGGCGTGCCCTGGTGGTTGCCCTCGCGGCGCCGGTGGGCCACCGCCGTTGCCACGAAGCGCCAGCGCAACCCGCCAGCCTTCTCGTGCGCGATGGGGAAGCCCCCGACGAGCTTGCCACCAGGCTCGCAGTCCGCGATGCGGACTTTGCGGTAGACGACGTACTCGGCCATGGCCTGGAGCTCGTCTGCCTTGCCCTTATGGCACTTCTCCTCGTCGAGGGGCTCGCCCGCGTAGTAATCGCAATGGATATTCACCGTCGGCTCGGGCGAGGCCCCAGTCGGGCTGCTCGCGCGCCCTACGTCTCGACCATAACGCGCACAGGCTCGCCACGACCTCGGCGTCTGGGCTGGGCTTCTTGGCGCAGCCGATGAATCATCTTCTGCACGCACACTGTCCAGCACAGTCGCGTCGGTAAGCACAGCGGCCCACGTGCGCCTCGCACAAGTCCTCACACCGCTCCTCAGCCCTCGGCATCGGGTCCCAGAGCAGGTCCTCCTCCTGATCGTCGTCCTCCTCGCAGACCGCCAGCTCACAGACTGAGAGGGCCGCGATGACCACGACCTCGGGGGCCTGCGCCAGCGCGCCGATCCTCTGTCGCTCGTTCGGCTCTGAGCTCTCCGCCACAGGGTCGCGCACCAGTGCCTTGGGCGCACTCGCGCCCATCCCTGGGGTCGCGGGCGCCGCGGCTGGCGCGGGCGGTGTCGAGGGCGCCGCTGCCGCTGGACTCGAGGCCGTCGCCTGCGCGTCGGTGGGCACCCGTGGGGAGGCCTGCGGCGCTGGCCCTGGCGCCACTGGGGCGCCCGGGGCGGCCCCGCCCCTGGCCTCCTCCGCGAGCTTCGCCTCGAGCCTCTCCTGCGCGATGTCTCGAATCGCCGCCTGCGCTGCTCGCTGCGCCGGCCCCGTCCGCAGCTGCACTTCGGGCATTTGTCCGTCGGGCCGTGAGTGTTCAACATATTCTCAGTAACATACATAGACTTCCTGATGCTAGACCTCACCCGCTCGGGCACAGGGGCCCAAGGTGCCACGTCGATCTGCTTCACGAGCTCAGCGTTCCAGCGGAACTCCTCGGGCATGCGGCGGACCGAGCGGACCTCCAAGAGGCCGCGCTGCAGGTCGACCACCAGGCGCCGGTCGTCGAACTCCGACTTGCCGACCCAGGTGCCCTTCGCGAAGCGCGCCTCGAACGTGCCCTGGCCCGCCGCGACTCGGGCCGCGACACGGTGCCACACCTGCTCGCCGACCTCCGCCACCCCGCCCACGCACTCGTGATCGAAGAGAAACTTGCAACTAGATCCCCCGTGGTTTCTCGGCTGGAACCTCGCGATGCACCAGCCGATCGCGCCGGCGAGGACGGCGAGGATGGAGTCCGAGAGCTCGAGCTTGCATCCTAGCTCGGTCTCGAGTGAAAACCGCAACGTGCGGAGTAGTCCCGCAGCTGCTCCGTTGCTGGCCTCGGTGCGCCCCATGCTCTTGGATGGGTGCGATGGGCCCTGCCGCACTATCGTAGAGTGCGACCTGAGCTTCTTAACCTGCTCCGCCAGAGCGACGGTCGCATTTTCGCCGTCCGCGAGCAGAATCACTGTCGTGCGGCCCCGGCTGTCGATGAGTTTAGCCACGAAGTGCGCCTTGCAGTCCCCCATGTGCTTGGAGCCGAAGAGCGCGCCTGAGGCGTTGGACCTGCAGCCCACGGCTATCAGGATCGCGGGGAGCCCCCCGTGGCCCTTATGCTCCAGCTCCCTGAAGTCGACGACCTTCATGACGCAGCCGTTCACCATGGGGCGCTCCCTAGCTATCTCGTCGGTGGCCACGTAGAAGAAGTCCATCTCCACAACTGGGTACTCGTCGTCGCCTTTCGGCTTCGCGCTCACCTCGCGGGGCGCGCCCCTCGCCCGGCCCACGACGCAGTCGCTGCGCCGCGGCCTGAAAGGGAGATGGTGCACTGCGCGGGCTCGCCTCTCCTCGCCCGAGGGCTGTCCAGGCCTCGCGAGCGCCCTCGCCTTCGAGGTGACGTTCTCGCTGGGGTCTGGTCCGAGCGCCGTCGGCAGCTGCTGCCGGGCCTCGGCGGCGGGGACCTGGGCGCGCAGGGCCCTACGCGTCGCGTTGAGGTACAGCTCCTCGCCCAGCTGCTCGCCGATGGCCCCGCCCAGCCCGCCGATGCTCTCGCCCAGCTCACCGATGCACGCCATGCGCACCGCCCGCTTGCCCTCGAAGGCGCCGCCCAGCATCTCGTCGTGCTCCAGGTAGCACGTGCCACGATCCTTCCTCAGCTTGATCCGGTTCGCCGATGCTGGAGGGTGAGATCGGGCTGTCCACAATGCAGTCTCCCAGGTGGGAGTGGATCGCCGACTCGCCCTGCTTCGCAATCGCGTCGGCGGACATCGCTGGAAACTCCACGTCGGCGGCCCCCGCCGAGATCTGAATCACGCCCTGCCCCGTCTTCAGCCGAACGCCCGCGCTGCCGTAGTGCTGCACCTCCGCGCCGTCGGTGGCCCGCAGCCTGGAGATCCCCGACTCGGCGAGCACGTAGCCCTTGCCCTTCAGCATGTCGTAGGGGAGCGCTGTGATCTGGGCCCCGGAGTCTAGCATGAACCCTCTGACCCCGCGGATGCCTGAGACGCAAACACTCTCACTGCTAGCTGCTCTCGCTGCACCTCGATCCACTGGGCTCCGCCGACCTCGCCCTCGGCCTCGAGTGCTCCGCCGTCAGGGCGAAGATGTTATTCGGCTTGACCGTGTCCTGCTCTGCAGAGAGGCCGTAGATCCCGCGCGTGCCCGTCGGCACCGTCGGGACCGCGCCCGCTGTCGATGCTGCCCACGATGAGTTCGGGACGTGCTGCCGCGGCCCCCTGCGCGCCGTGCTGCGCGCGAGGTGCTGCGAGCGCTGGCCTGCGCCGTCGCGCCCAGGAGGAAGTCCCGCAGGGCCCGCGCCACCACCCGCGGCCAGTGCCGCTGCCAAGGCACGGCGCTGACCTTCTCATCCTTGGCCTTCTTCTTTGCTTCCGCCTTGGCCTCATTCTCCCGCTTGAACTTGCGGCAGTCGTCCTTGATGTGGTTCCGCTTCTCGCAGCGACTGCACCGCTTCCTCGGATGGTTCGGGTGGCCCTTCGCCATCGGCTCGAACTCGTTCCTATTCTTATCATTGTCTTTGCCCGCGTCACCCTTGCCTGTGCCTTTTCCATTCGGCCTTTCCTCCAGCGCGCCGGTCTCCGTCGAAGCTTTGCTGGGCCTTCAAGGCGCCCGGGACCTACTTCTCCACGTCGAGGTTGGTGGCTAGGTTCCGCAGGTTGCGGAAGACGTGCTTCTGTAGGTCGTGTTCGTTCTGGAACGCACCGAGCAAGATCCCCTTCTTGATGACGTCGGTCAGCTGCTCCTCGGCGGCCTTCTCATACTTGCTGATCTCCAGGTGCAGCTTCTCGAGCTCGTTGGTTACGCCCGCGTTCGTCACAAACTGCGTCGACATGAGCTGCCTCAGACGTGCCATGACGTTGCCAGGCTCATTGGGTGCACACACTCCCTTCAGTCGGATCCATGCTTGACTTGACCGCCGTCTCCGTGTAGAACGTTCCGCATGATGGTCTCACCCGCTGAGTCTTCTGGCATCGCGAACACCAGCATATAGTAGAGCTGTGTGATCAGGTCCTCCCACTCTACGTCGCCCACATCGTAGCATTCCTGGCGTCGTCCAGCTGGTCCAGATTTTTTCATCTAGCTTCTCAAAGAAATCCTTGTAGCGCTTGTCGTTTGCCACCATATACGCTCTCCACTGAAACTCCCATGTCGACCATCCGCTCCTTGAGCCGTCGAACTGCTTGACTTTCCCTATGATGCTGGCATCCAGAACTCCCTCGAATCGTTGGGCGAAGCGGACCGGCTGCTGTTGAGCTGCCTGTCCTGCCGCTTGCTGTTGCTGCTGCAGCTGCTGCACCGTGGCCAGTAGGTATGCTATATGTTGCTGCTGTTGTTGCAGCTGCTGCTCCATCACGACTTCGCTCCGCTGCTGGAATCGTCACTAGAGTCGCGCAGTGGTTCCTCGGCTGCGGAGGTGCACCCAGCTCCGCGCTACCATGTTTCAGCCCTCGTCCAAAGGAATCTGGAAGAGCGGTGAATCATCTTCATTTTTTTGAGCCATAAGTACACAGGAACACTCTCCTGACACAGCTCCCAACCAGGCGTGCTTAACCCCACGGATGTATCCCCCCCCCAGATTTGGACTAGGGACGAGCACTATGTGTTGACTATTTGTTTACCTTTTTGGTGTATTTTGGGGGTGTTCTTCATTCTTCGTCGAAGATCCCCCTGTAGGGGGACATGCCCAACTTAACTCCAGGGGCCTCCTGGGGACCGCTGGGATGATCCAGGGGGCCCTGGCGCCGAGGGGCGATCGGAGGACCACTCGGGGGGGCGCCGGGGCGGCCTTTGCTGAGCCTCTTTGGGGTAGGGGGCCACATCCTTGTTCCTTATTAGAATATACCCCCACCTACGTCGCATTCCGGCCGATAGCGACCCACTCCGGGACCTCCCATCCGGACTGTAAAAAATCCAAACAAAGTGGCCGTTTTTCTTCTCAACATCGTCTTTCGTGTCATCGACGATGCGAAAACGTGGCAGGAATGGGACGCGGCGCACATCGCGCGCGGCAGTCAATCTGGGCCCGCGCATCCTGACTTTAAAAAATCAATACACTTTTTCGTCTCAACATGCCCTGCCTTGTCGCCGACGGTGCGAAATATGTGGCAGCAATGGGACGCGGCGCACATATGGGACGCGGCGCACATCGCGCGCGGCCGTCAATCCGGGCCCGCCCATCCTGACTGTGAAAAATCAATACGAAGTCTCCGCTTTTTCCTCTCAGCATGGCCTACCTTGTCGCCGACGGTGCGAAATATGTGGCAGGAATGGGACGCGGCGCGCATCGCGCGCGGACGTCCATGCGGGCCGCGGGCCCTCCCATCCTGACTGTAAAGAACAATACAAAGTTGCCGTTTTTCCTTTCATCATGGCCTGTCTTGTCGTCGACGATGCGAAATGCGTGGCAGGAATGGGGCTCGGAGCACATCGCGCGCGGACTTCTGGGGCAACCCCAAGGCGGGAGGGGCCACCTTATTTGTCAGAAACAATGCCATGCTGATTTTCCCTGCCCACATCGCTGTTCTTGTCGTCCACCCCGCAAAAGTGCATGGCAAGAATTGGGCGCGGCACACCCCCCTCCCCCCCCGCTCGAAGTGAATGAAATGACCTTCCCGCTTGAGCGCCGAGCGAAATCGTCTCAAAGTTGCGCTCCCGCTTTGGCCCGGCGCACGTTTTTAGCTCGCCAATTCATTTGGGGTGACGAATGGCTGGAAGGTTTTTGCTTGTTCAGGCTCTTGGAAGGGCCTCCTGAGTCTCCCCGCGTCTTCTTGGCGCTACGGCCGTCTGGAGGCCATCTTGGGCGTCTTGGAACGATCCTTCTGCGACTCAGGGCCCCTCGGATCGTCTCGGGGGCGTCTCGGCTCTCTTTGGGCGTTCCTGGGGCGCTCTGGGACCTGGAAGTCACTGCCGAAGAAGAAAATCATCGCTGGGACCGACGTGCCCCGGACCTGCTCGGGGTTTGTCCGGGGGCCCCCAGGGGCCACCCCGCGCGCGCAAACTAGAAGATTGTTAACTATTTACCGGAGATCTTAGCACGCCTCTGGCCCGTTGGGCTGGCCCGGGACCTGCACATATGGGACGCGGCGCACATCGCGCGCGGCCGTCAATCCGGGGCCGCCCATCGTGACTCTTAAAAACCAATACAAAGTCTCCGTTTTTTACCACTACCACTACCATCACTAGCACTACGACTACAATGACTACAACTACTACAACTACTACAGCTACTACTACGACTACGACAACTACTACTACTACTACTACTACTCCTGCTACTACTACTCCTACTACTACTCCTACTACTCCTACTACTACTACTACTACTACTACTACTACTACTACTACTACTACTACTACTACTACTACTACTACTACTACTACTACTACTACTACTACTACTACTACTACTACTACTACTACTACTACTACTACTACTACTACTACTACTACTACTACTACTACTACTACTACTACTACTACTACTACTACGACTACTACTACTACTACTACTACTACTACTACTACTACTACTACTACTACTACCACTACTACTAATACTACTACTACTACTACTACTACTACTACTTCTTCTACTACTACTACTGCTACTACTACTGCTGTTGCTGCTGCTGCTGCTACTGCTACTACTGCTACTACGACTACTACTACTACTACTAATACTACTACTACCACTACTACTACTGCTACTACTACTACTACTACTACTGCTACTACTACTACTACTACTACTCCGACGACGACGACGACGACGACGACGACTACTACTACGACGACTACTACTACTACTACTACTACGACTACGACTACGACTACGACTACTACTACTACTACTACTACTACTACTACTACTACTACCACTACCACTACGCGCCAGCACCCAGTTGCGCCAGCATTGTTTCTTATGTTGTGGGAGGGTGGAACGTGTCCGTTGTTCCTTCCAACATGGCCAGTGTTGTCGTCGACGATGCGGAATGCGAGGCGGGAATGGGACGCGACGCACATCCCGCGCGGACGTCAATGCGGTGTCCTGGGGTATCTTCCACTCGCACTGAAATGCCCGCGCAGCCCTCAGTTGTGCCATCACTGTTTCTTATGTTGCGGGAGGGCGGGTGGGAATGGGCATGCCACGCTTGACTCGCTCGAGCTGGCTAGCTTGACGCGAACCCTACCCCTACCCCCCACGATTTCTGAGGGGGAGGGTGGGGTTCACTTCGCTCGGGAGCTCGGAAAAGAATGGGTACAATGGCCAACAACAAATGTTGTCCCAAACCAACAGCGGCCGCTGTTGGGCAGGCTGCCTCCTGTCTCAAATGGACACAGGCCGCAGCTGCGCGGACAGCGAATCCTGTTCAAAATGAACAGGAACTGCTGTCAGTCTTTGTACCCATGCTTTCCGTGCCCATGCCGGTCGTCCCGAATGGTGGGAGTCTGGATGGGGATGGGGATGGGGATGGGGATGGGGGAGGGTGGGGTTCACTTCGCTCGGGAGCTCCCAGAGCGAAGTGGACCCCACCCTCCCCCTCAGAAATCGTGGGGGGCAGGGGTAGGGTTCGCGTGTGGCCCCCCTCTGGGGGCCATCTCGAGGCGCTGTGGGGCAGTCCTGGGCGCCTGTTGGGCCGCTCTGGGGCCAGACGGGGTCTCTTGGGGCCTCTTCGGCGGCCGTGGGACGCTATCGGGGGCCTTTCGGAGCTGCCTGCGGCGCAGCTGGGAGACAAAAGAAATGCCAAGCAGATGCGTTTTCCGAACAGGACCTACGACGATTCTGTCGCTCGGGACCCTCGGGGCGGTCTCCTCTCGGAGCCGTCTCGGTGCGTTCTCGGGGCCTCTTGAGCTGTCTTGATGCCATCTTGGGCCATCCTGGAGCAGTCGGACGCCATCTGGGACGACCAACATTTCTCCCGTGGGTCCCCGGGCTTGGGAGGAGGCTCTGTGGGGAGGCTCCGGGACGCCCCAAGAGGGCTCCGGGAGGGGAGGGGCACGCAAAGTACCCTGGGTGCCCCAGGTGTGCTGCGGCACCAGGTCCTCTCAGGCCTCCGGTGCTCGGGAGATTTTTTTTGAGAGAGGCGGAGGGGGGGAGGGAGGGAGAAGGGAGGGATCGGATCGACTCGGCAGGAGGAGACGTCGTGCCCCACAGCGCCGTCCAAGAGAAGGGAGGGGAGGGGCGGGAAGGGAGGAGGCGCTGGCGGCGCCCAGGCAGCCCACGCGTGCGCAGTGCCGCGCAGTCGACCCCGCCCCCCATCCTCTCGCAGGATCAGTGGTCATCGGATCGGGCCGTCTTTGGTGGTCCCCAAACGTGGTGGTGAGAACACCCGGTGGTGAGTTTTGGGCGATCTGGGTAATGGTCTTCGAGCGCTGGCTGGCCCAGGAAGCGCAAAACCTCGTGGCGACCGCGTGTCCCTAAACCCGGTGGTGACCCAGAATTATTTTTGGGGGGAATCTGGGTCACCACCGGGTGTCTCACCACCTGGTTTGGAGACCACTAACGTCTGCTCGAATCGGGAAACTAGTGAAGCAGAAGGCGGGCTGAGGACGGATTCGGACGAGGCTAGCTCGGGAATCTCTGAAGGCCAGTGGGTGCTGAGGACGCATCGGGCGCCGCGGCCACCTCTGAGCGCTCCAGGGCGCTCTGAGAGCGATTGGGGACGCTCTGAACTGATTTATCCTCTCGTTCCAGGCCTCCCCTAGAAACGTGGGTCGGTTTGGCCCGTGTCGGCGCGGAGCCGGAGCCGAATCGAACCGGCCGCGCCTGTATGCGCGACAGCGCTACGCAGCTATCGGGCCGCATCGGATCGTCGAAGCATCAAAATCGAATCGGATC